TTCCTGTGACATCACAACTTTCAAGCAGGTTTATTGGGTTTATTTGACTGCCGAAGCCTTCAACTGGGAAGAAGTCATCACTAAAAAAAAGGGACGAGTCCAAAAAGGGATGCGACAGTTTCTGTTGATCAGTGAACAGTGACCCTGTGGAGTCCACAGATTTACACTGCCCACCTATCCCCAGAACTTATACGACAAGCGCACAAGCTGAGCACAGTACAGACATGTACAAACATGTACAAACCTACATTGGCCCTGTGGACTCGGTGCAGATTTCGTTTGAGATACCGTGATGAGCGAGGCGAGCGAGGCGAGCGAGGCGATAGGTTTGAGAGCACCCCGCATTCTAGACGTGTTTCCGATCTGTGCTTTGTTTCTTTCCGTGAATGGCTCTGAAACGCTCTTAAGACTGTAGCCTAAATGTTGGCCCTGCTCCAGGCTTTGAGATGTCCGGGCATGTTTGTTTATTTTAATTAGAAGTACAGCAGAGTAGCTGGGAGCACCCCTTCATCTTCGGGTCCCTCACATAGCGTCAAAGCTCTCCATCAAGATGTGAACCAACCAACTTCCAAAGGGAATGTCCCCTCAAAGAAGTGATGAGTTCGACCTGTTTAACCTACCAACCCACCTGGTGCATTCATCTCGCAGGTTGTTGCTAAGATTTCGCCCGGTCCAAGCTGAGATCGACAGGGGCCAGCGGACCCTGCACGGGACCCTTAAGGACTTAAGGAGCGTCGAAACAAAAGAAGTCGCTACACTCGCCTCACTGGTGGTTTGGAGTTTGGAGGATCATTTGCTTTATGTCCGGTAAATAGATGTAAATAGTATTATTGGGGTGGAGGCCATCGCTAGTAGGTTGGAGGCCATCGCAAGTAGTTGCATATTATATACATAAAAATAGACATAGACGTTGATTAAATACTAGTAGGTTCTTGCTACTAGTAGTAAGGCCAGAAGCTACCAGTAGCTTCTTGTTACTAGTAGCGATGCCCTTGATACTAGTTTCGAGTCTGCAAGCTTAAACATCTTTACGGCACCCGTATGTACTTGCTCCCGCACTTGGACACTGCGGCTTTGGTGATGAAGATGTTGCTAAAGTAAGACCCTTGTTTGAAAAGTGGTTGCTTTGCCGCTTGTAATGAGTTACCAAGCCGAAGCTCTTGACAAGTCGGTATCTAACCCATGAGGAGTCATTGACGAGCAATCAAGACCCGGCAACCTATTCGCAAGGGGGATAGACTCTTTGGTGGTTTTAATTCCCAGGTTGGTGCTCTGTCTTCACTCACGTGTCTATTTTTGCCGATTTGCTTGTTTGCCGCCAGCACATGGTTTCCTCTTCCCAGACTGCTTTTCTTTTCCAAGCTAATCCTTGGTGATGTGCTTTCCCGCAGATCAGTAGAACTTCCAACATAAACAAGTTGAGGAGCTCCAAATGCCGTGCATGCCGTGCATGCCGCATCAGCTCCACATGGGTGTCTGGAAGCTCCGCTGGCCCTGCAGACAGTGACAGCAGCGGTACGGCGCTGCAGTCAGCGCAGACTGCTATGCTTTGTTTAACGCGATCTGGCGCTATGCTCACGTGCTCACAGGCTGCCGCGATGTGTAGTAGACAGTAGACTAGACATGTCCAACGTGCCACTTAAGAAGGATAGAAGATCAGATTGCAGTGCTTTTGCATGATATATATATATATAGGTTCAATTTGTTGGGTCACTAGATGTCATTAGCTACGCTTTCAATTGCATTCTTACCCCCATTGTTAGATATTGTTGGCTCAATTCGTTTGTGGAAGGTGCCTTCGGGGATACTGTAGATATCTTGAGATCTTATTGAAATCATGTGACTCGGTTCTTGATGGGAGAAGTATATATAAGTAGATGCAATGCTGCACACTCTCGGGAATCAGTCGTATCGTTCGATCGGGCGAGACCCTTGCAGTTCCTCACTAAGTCTGAAGTTCTGAAGAGGTATCACCTGCTCATGTCGAGCTTCCGAACATGTCTGGTCTGCAACGACACCGTTGTTCGTCTTCCAAGGGGACAGCCGTTCTGCCAAGAAAAGCAGTAGCTGTAGATGTTCCTTCGCGGCGGACTGTGAATGATGGGAGATCCGATGTCCTCCGTGCAGGGAGCCATTTGAGTGGATGACGCGAAGTGTCCAAGGGCTATACTGGGTTCTACTTTCCACTTAGCATTTGGCAAAATTCTGATTAATCTTTACCGACCTTGACAGTTCTGTCAGGTTTACATGGAATACGCTGGCCTATTGGACCTGTTGGAAAGCATCACCCTTACTTTCTATTGCTAGATTATGTTTGCTATAACAAAATAGTGCTGCCTGAAGTAGATCTTAGTGTTCAAATCATTGCTTGCTAAAGGCAATGATCCCCGATTGTGTCCTCAAGGACTACTCAAATATGTTCAGCACGAAAAGCCACTCGGTGCAACGAAAAGCCACTCGAGGAAGATTGGGAACATTCACACTGATGTCGGCCCTGATATATCTTTTGATCAGAAAAGCATAAGCGTGTACAAAGGTCAATGCTCAGTGCACAATCTCTCAAGGAGAAAAAGTGCCTTTGTCGCAGAAGTTGGAGAGGTATCTACGAATCTGGAGTAGTACACGTACTGTCCATGTCTCAAGGTGTGTTATCCTAAATTGTTCACGGTATGCAAATAAGTATGTGTTTACAATGTGTTTACAATATGTTCATAATGTACATCGCATCTTTAGACATGTCTCAAGGTTTCATGAACTGTTTTTATATGCATGTCTACTGGACATTTGCAAGTACTGTGCCCCACCAGGTTACAAGCATCAATTATATGTTTTAAGTCATCCCTTGTGCCCAGCAATAAATCTCTCAAAACGCTGGATCCACTAAATCCACCAGGTGCCTTCGCCGTGGATCACATGCCTCCGCTGGGGAGGTGGCATGGTTGGCATTGTACAATTGTACAATTGTACATTGTACATCATGATCAACCATGTGTGAGACTATTCAAGTGCTACAGCATATGTGCAAAGGCATCAAAGTCCCCTGTATATCAGCCCCTGATCATTTATGTGCGTGTATGTTTGAACTGTGCGTGCATTTTGATTTGCAACAGTTCAGTAGATGTACTGTGGGGTTGGCGAAGGCATGCGCTTTTGCAACAATCATGCCGAATCAGAGATGTACGATGTTGGATCCAAAGAGGTTCTTCATGCACTTGCACGGCTCGAGGGCCTTTGGGGCATGATGTGTCAGTTAGGTAGATACATGTCAGTCATCATGGTGCAAGACATGTTATTGTCCATCAGCTGTTGACGAAAGCAAGGGAAGGCTGTATACTGGTGACACTATTTTAGTCCATGTTCATAGAAGTGCCACACGTGGAAAGTTAAACTCCCTCACTAGCACATGAGTGCACACACACATGCTCAATTAGGCCAAGGTGTTTTATCATTTGACGACTTGTCGTGCGTTTTCGCCTTTCGCCTCATCCCATGCCCACGATCTGACCCCGTTGGCTGACCGTGGGGGAGCCAAGCAGCTGCCGGTCACCAGGTAAGCGAACAAAAGAAAAAAAAGGAAAATAAGATCGGGGAGAAACGTGGAGTTGGATTTATTTGGGATTGTATAGACCCCCAAATAGATAGAAAAGTAGATCCCCACTCAAAGTGTATTGGACACCGTGCCACTATGTACTGTAGTTGGAATCACTGTATAAGATTAGATAGACCAGTAGATCAATATAGACAAGTTAAGCAAATAACCAATCTTGGAGGTACAGAAAACCCTCCGACAAACCACCATCCACTGGGCAAAAGCATTTCTGTTCAGTCGCATTGGTTGGGGGTCTATATATATATATATATATCCATGATGTTGGACGTGCCCTTTTTTCGATGGTTGTTGACGGTAGCCTTTCCTAGATGTTTGTTTTGCACACTCAACACTGCTTGCAACCAGATGTGTAAGTGCAAATAGACAGCTCTTGTTCCGTGATGTTCCATGCGAAGTTATCAAAAGACAACAGACAACAGTCCTGACGAGTCTAATTAGTCTGGGAATGTTGATTTGTCGTACTTCACCCCATCCTACGAATGAGTGAGTGTCTATAGTTAGCGCTCCCCCGACCCGAGACGAAGGGTCAGTGCGAGACGGTTGGTCAGTGCAGGGCGCAACAGCGGGTCACATGGCGCCCGTGCATACAAACACATGAAAGGGGGAATAAGCGATGTGGGGGCCATAAACACCCAGCACAGCATTGATGTTTGTTTGACAAAAACACCTATACATGATTACACAGGGTGGTTGAGGAAGCTAACCATGGTCAGAGAAAGTTGGGGACATTTACGTAATTCCTGCTGGGGTAACAAAGGTGATCACACATGGGGCGTCACTTTGGCTCAACGAAAGACTTGCTGTAGCTGCGTGAATTTCTGGCTTGGCTTCTGGGTTCTCGCAAAAAAACAAGTTATGGGAAACGATTCGTACCAACGTGGCAATGGGACAAATCGGTGAAGAACGGCTGGTCCCTACTGAAAAGCTCTTTCTGAGCTGATTCCACAGGCCCCAAGAGCTGATCTTGGTGCTAGTTGTTCACATTTTGTTCGTTCGCATTCAGTTGGACACAAATATGTTGGCCCAAAACCCAACACCACCCCATTGGCCCAAGTCGAATAATCGACGGACATGGTACTCCGCAGAATCTATATTTTAGGGGGGTCGACCATCGTCACATAAATTTTATCCCCCACCCTTTGCGGCGTACCCATGGCCAAATCTAGTCACTGACTCAGCTTGCCCGGAACCCTTAGGCAGCCATTGACATAACCGATAGATTGTCTCAAATTCTTGTACCTCTATCTCAGATTGTCCATCTAGAGAATCCACATAACCATAATTAGATTGTACCTGATTGTACCTTCAGAACCCAGGTCATTCAGGCGACCTGGAGTGTTCGCACCACTGCTTTCCTCGCAGGACCCATTCTGCACCGATTCTGGTCGTGATGGAGCTGGAAGTGCTGAGCGTCCAAGGCGCTGGGCCGGATCAGGTGCGGACGACGGAGCGACGGAGAACGTGACGGGACGACATGCACCACCCGTTTCTGCGACGAAGGCCAAGGCGAAGGCCAGCCTTGGGGCAAGTAGGGGATGGAAGATGTGGGCGACTACACTCCCGAAAACTAACATAGACCCTGACAATGGTAACCTGGAAGATTGTTTTCCTATACCAACCAGTGGTTTTCAGGGTCCATGTTGTATCTATTTCCCTTTATGGATTGGATGACTTTACTCGAGACCTCGAGACTCACCTTAAATCGCCCAAACTTCTCAGCAGGCAGTCCTTAGAAAGATCTTACCCACGTGCGGTTGACGTGTATGAACCAGCATGGACTCATGTGGACAGGAGTTTGGAGGTGGGCAGCGTGTTTATATATGCTAACCAACACGCTCTGATCTCGTAAGTGGCAGTGCAGGTGGTCTCTATCCGAGCTGGCAGCCAACGCAAGCAGGCCGCCGTCTCCTCCTTAGGACAGGCGCGCCAAAGACGAGTGTTTTCGACGCAATTTGCTGGTCAAGTGAAGTCCTGCCACCTTATCTTTAAAGGTTTGCTCTTGAGTTGCAGACTCCTATTCTACTCGCTCAGTGTCTCAGTGTTTTGGTGCTCCATTCATGCTCCACGACATGTACCAAGCCGTTCTCCGTTTCTTGGCACCGGATGGCAGGGGACGCCCTTCCGTCTCACCGGCTCGCATGGAGTGAACCCTTTCCGCATCGACATTCTGCAGCAGGCGCTGCGCACCGGGCGACTCTGCCTGGCACCGGGTGCCATCATCGTTTGGTATGTTGAATAAGCATGAATTCCCGGATGTCTAGGATGTTCCGGGGCATCGCGGGGCATCGGGCCACCCGACGGCTGAAGTTAGCTCTGATTGAAACTGCAGGCTGGTTAGCACTACGCAAACATACACAAGCACCCAAACAGCTCGCTTCACATCATCACTCTTCATTTTGTGGGTCTGTAACGGTCACAGCTATCACACCAAAATGGAAAACAAATATTTGGGTCTTCCGGAGATGCCAGGTCATGGGAGGCGTGAACAGACAGGCGTTGTGATGCTTCAAATCAGCGCCACATTAGGTCCCGGTCAATGAACAAAACACAGGATCTATAGATTTCATCGGTGATGTGTTTGAAATTTGCCTATTGCATCAGGATGACCACCACAAAAGGCATGGTCTTCAAATTTTGGAAGTGCCTGACCTGAAGTTGGCAGAACAAAACGGTTCGTAACCCCTCCAACCACCCTTCATCTTTCATGTCTTATGTTGTGCGACCGTAGAACCCTGATAGGCTGGATGGCCATCCTTTTTGTTCCTTGCATTGGAAAAGAATATCTTGCGGGTGAAAACAGTTGCCTTTGCAGGTGGGCTCGGCACGCTTGGCCCTTCGACCAGGGGAAGGCGCTCGGCACGCTTGGATAGAACTCGGCGATGACTGGTTTAGGTGAGTTCGGTCGTCCATCTCTTCTGGAGGGGAGTGCATCTATAGCAGACATGTTTATATATCATTTTGGTTGGAGCTACTTTCAGTCACAGTCTTAGCTTAGTTGACTCAAAGATCTTAGAAGGGCTCACTTTTCTTCGTTGACGGACCTTAAAAAAGATCCATCCACACCTCTACTCGTATCTTCACAAAGCCTGCACCATCAAAACCTTCTTCCCTATACTTAAGTCTATATACATTTAAACACTGTTTTGACACGTGGCATGTCCTGAGCCCAGTGCATTTCATTCACGGACCGTTGATCACCGACGTCACGTCGGCGTGCGCCACCAGACCTGGGTGGCCGACTGGCCATGTCACTGGCGAGTGCTGCAACTGGCAGCGTCACGTGCTTGATACGCCGCCCTGCAACCGTATGCTCGTGCGTGTTATCTTGTCCGTGGGTTTTTTTTCTTGGTATTTCTATATGTATGTATATAATACAATATGATTTGTTTTAGAAGTGTCTTTGCCGGTGCATCAAATTTCAGACGTTTTCCCAAGGAAGATGCTTGTGTCGAGAAAAAGGTGTTCTTGAAGGTCTCATGATCAGTACGATTTGAAGTTATCCAAAAGTTCAGCCAAGCGTTCTTTCATGATAATTGTTCTTAACTCATTTAACTCGCACCACTTTGCAACTCAACCCGCAAGTTTCTTTCACTAAAGATTCGCGGAAAAGTGTTCTTCCTTCGACTCGAAGGTCATTACTCACTATCTGAATTGTTTATTGGAAATGATTTACGGTTAATTTGGGTGTTGCATGGAAGCATATAGGTGAAAGAAGCACGTTTTAATACACAAAGGAAAACATAGTGAGTTAAATTACGTAACGTATAACTGCATCCTTACATCGCTACAAGCATGTCGTTACACTCCCACCCCCACCCCCCACCCACCCCAGCCACGAACCAAAAAGAACCCATATGCCATGGTTGTTTGTTTGCGTGTGCCCTTCTTTGGGTTTATTGTTTTTGTTTGACAGACAAAATAACATGAATTAAATGATGACAAAGTGGCCTAACTTGGCCTGACCCTTCGTTCAGACAATCCCCACTCGTGTGGTTTGACACGCATGGTGTGGGCCGCTCACCCAGAGACAAGATGCACGTGATGACATCCTGCCATAAGTCCATAGGTTTTTTGTTCATGCTTTCTTTCCATGCTTAACGGCAAAATGATAATATAGGTCCTCAAATTCTTGGCCCACAACCTCCATCAAACGGCACCCTAAAGCCCGAAAAACACGATTTTAAAGCGGAGAGTCCCAACACCTCGCCGTCGGGTTCCCCATCCTGAAGGGGAGCCCGACAGGCACCTATTCGATTGACGTCAAGGGTGCTGGCACCGACGGTGGGAACGTCAACGTGGCCTTCGCTGTGCGTGGCTCGGCAGCGACCGACGAGCGGCGGAGGAAGAGAGAAGGATGCCGCCATCGGAGCGGCCAGTGGTTTGCAGGGTGAAATGAGAACGGACCGCTGTGTTTTGAACTGTGACTGTGTCGTGACACCGTGTTGTGAAAGAATGTTCAAACAGAAGATGTTCCAACATGTAGTGGTCGTATCAACTATAGACTATAACTATACTGTATATGTTTGAGATCGCACACGACTTGCAGAGTGTAGTCTTGAAGCCAGCAGCCTTTGCCATCCTCTATATAGCTCAAGTTGGTGCACTCGTCTAGATGAGGATCCAGGTCTGTTGACTGGGTAGGTAGCTCTTGGATGCTTCCAGCCAACCAAATGTTCACTGATCAAAATGCAATGGCAATTGGCGGTCAGAAGTGGCGATGAATTTGCACCTAGGACCCTCTCTCAATGAACTGCTACAGCACATGGTAAACACATGCATTACTTGTGGTCGCGGTTGTTTTGATGTTCATATCGTGTGCGTCTTGTTCGCCACAGAACCTTGGCAAACACCGCTTGGGAGTCTGTTGAAGTTGCAAGCGATCAAAACCTTCCACAGCGCCAAGGAGAGATGGGCAGAAGCAACCAGCCAAAGCCACATCCAGCATCCGAGGAGCGACACCATGAAGTTTGGGAAGCAAGGGAACCTGTGGACGTTCCGCTATGGGATGTTTCGTGCTCGTTCTTTGCAATGCGGTTTGTTCATATTTGTTCTACATCGTTTCCGAAGTCGGTGCCCACTGACATACGGTGTTTTTCGTTCGTCATCATTTGGTTCACAGTAAACTGATCCATGAACCCACTTACTGGTCCCGACTTCGACTGTCCTACAAACCATTTTAAATGACTGAACCAGTCACACTGGGCCAATTATGGCTAATTTTACAGCTGTTCGGTTCCTCCTCTCTTGTTTTTTCGGCAGAGGTAGGCCACGTTGTCTCACATTCGAACCATTTCGATCCCATATGTTTGTTATTGTTTCTTCATATGTTGGAAATCGTCAATTTTTATAACAAAGAGACGGCTTCCGGTCACTACTGCAGCCTCTCCTTCAGAAGATTTAGCGCAGCCTGTCTGTCTTCATCATGCAGCCTGTCGGCCTGTCTTCGTCAGGGTCCAAAAGTCTGGTGTGTTTGCGGTGTCGATGAAGTGAAAGTCCGTCCTCCTGCTCCTTTCTCTCTCTCTCTCTCTCTCTCTACATATACATAATATACAATATACGCACACACATAAACACACACCAGAAACATCGCTGGATAGCTGGTGGCACTCCAGTACAGCTAGCTGAAAGCAGCTGAGAGGGCTGCGCGCTTGTTGCTTCTTTTTGTAAGAAATATATAAGTGCAGCACTTGAGATCCAGAGAGTCAAGAATATGTACAGTGGGTTAAGAGTAGATGGCACAATCCCCAAAAGGTTGATTATATGGACCCCATCTAAAAGACATTTAGGGATTTGTGATGGTTTGTGCCATTTACTCTGAAACCACCTTACGGTGGTTTGAGAGATTTCAGGTGGTGCCGGTGACTGTCAATGTTTGGCGGCCCACGGCCCAGTGTCGGGCTCTGTCAGGAGGAGGATCGGCGCTTTTTCTCCCAGGCAGCAGCCGCCAAAGAGTGAGGAGACCCAGGGAGGTTGACAGTGTGAGTGCCAAATACAGGATCCACGTGGTTCCAGCCATACAAGCTCTATGTTTGGGGAATGGCTGTGGAGAACCATATCAAAGCCCTCTATGTTTGGCTCCGCCGATTTCTATTAAATGGACATTGGGCGTCCATGGACGGTTCATTTCTGATGGGGGTTTTCGCGCAATGACCCACACCTATGTACTGTGTGTGAATGTGTGTGATCTACTGTGTAGTGGTGGCTCGGATGCAGTATGGACCTGTCGTAGTCGAACGCATTCCTGGGTGCCATGAGTCGGAGCTTGCAGCACGTTCAAGAGTAGATCATTCGGACATGCACATCAAGTAAATTGAAATAGATTATTATATCAATGTGTTTTTGCATTGGGACTCTTCTGCAAAAGAATTGCTTAGTCGTCGGTTCTCTCCAGAGGACAGAATCCCATGCTGATGAAGCATGCTAAACTGCTAAACAATTGGCCAAGTAGTTCACAATGTTCCCTTGAATGTCCTTCATTTACGGAGAGTTACGCATCACCTCGGTACCAATTGGTCGGTTGAAAACCCAGTGGGCATCACCTTGTGGGAAACCGACAGCGCCATGTTCTGCTTGTCGGTGGAGCAGATGAGCGGCCAAGTGTTGACGCTGGAAGTGTCACCAGAGATGACAGTCCGAGAGCTGAAGCAAAAGTTGAGGATCTTGCGGCCAAGTGAAGCTCTGCTCAGTGGTTCTTGTGAGTCCAGAGGTTTTCACACCATGTTTTAGATATTTTTAAATAAATCAAGGAGCTATACATGGCCTTGGACTCATTAGAGGTTCAAGATTACTTTACAGAACTTCTCTCCTGGAGGTAGGCTGCTTGGTTTGGGAAATGTACATATATATATATATTTGTATATGGTTTAATCTGTGTTTCCAAGTTTCCCACGTGAGGAAGATGAGCTTGTGCGCCAGATCACCAAGGTAGACCTGGTAGTTAATGGCAAGAGCCTGCAAAACAACAATACAAACCTCGATGAGGCAGGAATCTCTGCAGCCTCAGCAGTACAGGTCCTCTATACCATTGATTCCGTTGAATGCTCCAGGAAGGAAGACTCCTGTTGCCATGCTCAAGACTTGCTGGCAGTTGTAATCCCAAGTCATGTGGTTCGCATTGACCAGGAAGCATTCTGCAACTGCAACTCCCTGGCTAGCGTGACTATCCCCGACTCTGTGACGCGGTTTGAAGCAGGTGCCATCCAAAACTGTACTTCTTTGGTTAGCGCGAAGATCCCCGACTCTTTGACACACATTGGGCGCAGAGCTTTCAGTTTTTGTCGCTCCCTAAGGAACTTGACCATTGGAAACTCCGTGGTTCTCATTGGGGAGGCTTCCTTTAGGGATTGCAGCTCATTGAGGAGCTTGGTCATACCAGACTCTGTGAAAGACATTGGATCCTGGGCCTTTGAAGGGTGTAGCTCCTTGGAAAGTGTAACTATCCCGGACTCGGTGATTTATTTCGGAGAGGATGCCTTCAAGGGATGCACTGCTTTGAAAAGTGTGACAATCCCCCGCTCTATGGTGCACATAGGTCCAGGTGCCTTTAGTGCCTGCACTGCTCTCACAAGCTTGACAATCCCTGGTTCAGTTACATACATAGAGGGAGGTGCTTTTGCAAACTGCAGGTCCTTGCCCAGCTTGACACTTCCCGCCTCTCTCATCATCATCGGTGACACGGCTTTCAAAGGCTGCAGCTCCTTGCAAACCCTGACCATCCCCAACTCTGTGAGAGAGCTGGGATTCCATGCCTTTGAGGGTTGTACCTCTTTGGTCAGTGTGAACATCCCTGACTCAGTGAAATCCATTGGAGATGGTGCCTTCAATGGCTGCACCTCTTTGACCACAGTGCGAGTGCCAAGTGCCTGGCGATTTCGCAAGATCTCAATAGGCCCTGGGGCCTTCGATGGCTGTCCAGCTCAACCAGAATTGGAAAGGGCAGGTTGCCAGGTACAATGATGTGCAGCGAAGCTTCTGACTGCATCCGAATCCGACCCAAGTGACTGTGCATGGACGATAATGTTCAAAGTCTTGCTGTGAGTGCAAACTGGATGGTGTCTCTCGGTTATTTTTCATGTACTGAGTACTGAGTGTTTACCGCTATCGCAAAGCAGATCAGGACGGAGAAATCGTGAATGTGACAGGACGAGCACAGACTCTCTGGACGAAATCATGTGCCGGTCACAGGGTTTCCTCAGGTTCCTCCAGGCACCTGGCAAACCCAGTCAATTACGTCAAGTAAATTGATTGTTTGCAGCGGGGTCAACAGCTGAGGTGGATGGCGTTTGTTGATCAAATCCACCCTACTACAGATAGGTACGTCTTACCTTGCTCGTACATAGAGCCTTGTTTCTTGGGACAACCAGATGCGTTTGGTGCCCACTTAAGGCTGTTGGGTCGAAGAACTAAGAACTGGACCGGCAAGAAGTTCAACAACATGTGTGTGTAGTCCCACACTGACATTGACTTGTGTTTGCATGCACTCTTGAAACGTGCCATGATGCTTGAAGCCACAATTGATATATATATATATAATATAATGAATGTATAATGTGTATGTATATATATATACACATATGTTGAGCATTTAGCTCATTTGGCGGTTGTCTTGACACTGAAGCGAAGATTGTCCATAGATATTCCTCCAGCTATGGGGCCGCAGCGAACTGCAGCCTTGCTTTGGTCTACTCATCGGCACTGGAGTAGAAGGTGTTTGCCTTGTTCCTCGAAGCCACTCGTCGAGTGCATCGGCTGAGGTACCTGGAGTCTCACGAACTTCTTCCCTTTGTGAGAGCTTTGTTGCAGGTGAGCCTGGAAGAGCTGTTACATTCAAGTCAGACTTGATTTGTGCAACATGTAAACTTGGAAGTCTGGTTGATTCGGAGTCTTTGCGGCCAGCGGTTGTAGCCACCATTTTGCTTGTAGCGATGGTCCCTTGATCCGTCGGGTGAACCGTGTGATTCACCCGCCTGTTGCCGCCGCGGGCCAGACCGTGATCCGGGACCGGCCCAAAGATCCCTACAGCTTCATCTCGGATCAGTATCGTGGCCAGTTGGGATGGATGACTTGCAGGTGACACGGAGTTCTTCAGAAGCTTAGTAGCTACAAATAGCAACAACGTCTCCAGGAACATAAAGTATATTAGAGATTCTGGATGGTTTGAGTTTACTGCAGGGCTAAATATGGCGAAATGGTTGGCTGAGGATGACGGTTGAAGTGCCTCGAAATCGAGGGGCGACTGCCCAGGGCGACGGTCCGCGTCGATCCCCTACAACATCCTACGGTTAACGGTTGCAACCCAAGGAAAGTGAGTGCTCCGAAACAGCTGGGAAAGGACAGTGCTAGTGGATGAGTGGCCTTTTGAATCCTTGGACATCTAGATCATGCTGAATGCGTTTTGCTTTGTTTCTTCCAAACCTTTGGGCCCTTTTCCTTTTCCTTTTCACCGCTCCGAACCTCGAAGCAGTCCGCCGCTCACCCCAGGTTCCGCCTGGCCTCCGTGGCCGGGCGGCCGCGTGGGGGCGAGAGCAATGACACGACGGCCTTCACGGAACCATTGCTGAAGAAGGCGAGCGCCGGCGACGTCGCACTCGGGCGGATTCGAGAAAATGGCAGGGACACATCAGGAGGTTTGAAGCGTTTGGAGGAGCTGCAGCTACAATCTTCCATGACTGACCAGTCTCTACTGTAGCAGTGGCTTGCCCTGCATGGTGCAGCCAAAGACTATTGATGATCCAGGTTATAAACTATATTGAATTTAACTATGTACATATATATATATATACACATAATTCCATTCACAAAGAATGTACTAGAGATCGACATATATACAATTATAGTATGTTAGGCACCGATCTTCTATGGACATTGCATTCTCTTCAATGCCGTCTTGGATTGGGTCTTTGGTCCAGGAAGCTGATGGAGACTTGGAGTGTTCTCCACATCCATGTGGACAAGCCTTGAGGACAATCCCCTCAATGTTATCCATGTAGACAATCCTTTACAAGCCACATCCATTGTAAAGGTTCTTCCTTTTGAACCAGGGAGCAGCTTGTAAAGGTTCTTCCTCGCGAAGCTTTTGCCTTCCCTTTAGCGGCCAGCAGCACGGAATGATTACTCTACTTTTTACACTGTAATGGATTCATGCTGACGTGTACAACGCTTGACTATGATATATACATATATATATATAATATATATATAGAGAGAGAGAGATAGATAGAGATAACATGTGGCATTTGGTCGTCCAGCGCATCATGTTTGTGAACTAAACATGAAGTGGTGGTTGATACACATTTCAGTTGGAGAACTGAGTGGCTGAGTTCTTACTCAGAGAGATCAACATAAGAGAGCCAATCAGATCTCTAAAATCGGGATCTCTCAGGTGCACTGTAAGACTTGAAAGCCACACAGAGCAGCCCTGATGGGTCATTTTCCGTACATGTCATCGAAGTTCCGTTGGTTTTGAATAGCTACAGGTTTGATTTGTTGTGAGGGACAAATTACAATAGAGGTCTTGCTGGACATCGCCTTTACCAAAACCTGTTGGGCTTCCGTGGTCTTCCGGGTCCCTTTGGGCGCTCGCACGCGCCCACATGACTATCATATGACTCATATGACCGCTACCCAGGCCATCCCGGAGGTCAACCCACAGCCCAAGGAGGTGGCGCCAGTGGTGCCCACAGTCAGAGCCCCATTCCGTGATGCCCATTCCATTTGGTTGAGAACCCCAACTAATCGAGAGGTAGTTTCAGGTGTGCAGGTGGGGTGTTTGTCAGGTGCCAGGCCTCCAAACTCATCAGCGGTTGCTGGTGAAGGCCCTCCATCAAGAAGAGAAAGTGGTATGGGAGAGACACATAGAGTGAGCCCTTTAATGCCCTTTGTGCATCGAGCTATTAGCAGTAGGAAATGTTCTACAGCTTGACACAAGTGACCTATGGCGTCTATGGTTGTTTGGCAAAGGAATCAGCGTTGAGTGTCTTTGAACAGTGAACCGCACATGGTTTTTTGTGCAGTGAATGGGGTAAATTGGTGGTGAACACCCTTGCGACCCGCAGACTTCGAATGTGACCCGACCAGTGGATCGGTCGGAAGCAAAACTCCCTAGTTGAGGACTTTGATGATTATTGCTAATCCAAGGCCTTTGATTCCCTGAATCGGTCAAGCCGTACAGAAAAGCAAAGCAAGGATTCGTTTCTCTGGACGTTGGCCGTAGCTCAAGGAAGGAAGAATTCCAGGCATGCAGGCAGGATCATCCCTGCCATGTAGGAGATCCGGAGATCCTGAAAATCAACAGCAATTGGTCAACGCTTTGGGCCCCATATCCCAACGGGCCCCGACATCCCATGGACGCTCTTTTGCGGTCTTAGCTCCAGTCCTTTAGGGCAGTTTGAGTGGATGTGCAATTTGGAGGAACATGTGACAAAACAGACTTTTGCGAGGTGGAGCATAAAGCGGTGTTTGCCCAACGAGACCCACCAGCTGAGGAGAGCGGCCAGCGCATATTGAATAGGGTCCATGCCAAGCACTCTTCATGGAGTCATCCAACTTGTTGGGATGCAGAGGTGGTTCGCTTTGCATCTTCAAGGAACAAACCTATTAGTCCTGCCACCAACGCTCTTGAAAAAAGAACATAAGCGCAATGCAGTGCGCTGAACAAAGATAATGACTTGTGGCCATGGCAAACCACTCCAAGATGGTTCAAGAGTTTAAGAGGCCGTATCTTCACACACACACACTACATTCTACTAGAGCGGTGGACTCTACGTTCTCCACGGTCTCGCCCTGGAGGAGCGTGATGTGGAGAGCTTGCGCTTGCAGGTCCGCGATGCCCTGGGTCAGGCGGGCTCGGTGGTGCGGTACACGCGGCGCGCGCAAGCGGTGTTGATGCCTCTGGGAGACAGGGGCAGAAGGCTCAGTTCGGGGGAAGGAAGTTTCGTCAAGAATGGTTTTGACAAGTACTGTAAGAGTTTTCTGAGCCTGTACAAAAAGCATCAAAAACAGCAAGGTCACCATCATGTCAATCTTGGAGAACAAATTTGGAGAGGGGATTGGGACGAGAACCAGCACGCCTGAGTGAAGGGGGAAGCTGATATTTCCGGCTTCTGCGGCTGACTCCACGCTGACCCAAAGGCTGCTTCGAATGCCCAAGTGGGAGCGTGTCAAACTATGCCAACTATATGACTATACGGCACAACTAAGGGGCACCATTACTGCTAAAAGATCGATTCATTGGGGAGTCGGCACAGAGAGATCTTCGAGATGAAGTAGACATGTCTCAGGTTACTTCCCTTCGTCGAAGTGTTTTTGTCCCAGGCCGTCGAAGACGGGCAGTTGGAGGAGTTGATGAAAGAGGCCCGGCCGCACGACAATCCTAGTCCGACGAACATCCGATGGGTTCACCGTCCGAGGAACAGTTGAAAAAAGAGTTGGCATGGTACGTGTCTTTGTCACGTCCAGGTTCATAAACAGCCTGCAAAGCGGGGTGGTGGATCTGAACATTCTAGATCGGGAGATTGAGCCCTGTAGTTAGTTTGTTTACTGTCAGGACTGTTGCTGTTCTTGTTGTTGTTGTTGTTGTTGTTGTTGTTGCACCTGATGAGAAGCCCAACGTATGCGAATACTTACTGAACAGGGTCGCCGTCCGCAGACACCCAACTGGCTTGGTCCTTTTTTAGGTGATTGTTGAGTCTTCCGCTTAGCTGTGGGACAGGCAGAGTCGCAGCCGTTTGCAGCGGTGCGAGCCCCAGCGGGGCCCCGCTTGGAACCGAAATTGCTTGACATTCTGGAGTGGTCTCCAAGTCTTGTCCGTTTTGCTTGAGAACCAAACCAAGGAGTATGGATAGATGATGGTAGATGATCAAAACCTCACCATGTCCTTTGGGAGTTCGGAAGCAGTTGAAATCAAGGCCCTGTCCATATTCCAGATGATTATCCATCGGTCCATCGGTTAATCAGGTTCAGGAGCCGGTTCGTCAAAACGACTGATGTCACTGAAGCCCCAAACTGATGATTGTTTGATTGTTTGAGGGTGGGTCATTGCTGCAACAATACTACACAAGATGTAAGATGTGGCACTCATAGAATCCAAGAGAACAGAGGGCAAACTTAAACTGCTGACAGGTTGGGCACTCCAAGTTGAAGACACAAAAACTTATCAGTGGCTTTGGCCCTAAGAATTTATAATGTGCTCTTTCCACATCAAAGAACATGTCAGATATGCAGCTTTAAATAAGATAACTAGGCGGTCCATGATCAACTGTTCATACACTTACACTTCATACTGTTGAATTGTCGGGGCAGTTGCTAGGCCGCTGAAAACAAGTTGTTTCATGTAGCCAATTGTTCTTGCGGAAACGTCTTTCACTCTTTCACTGCGGTCTGGACGGGCGGCGTTTTGCGGCCCGAACAGTCAAATCTTAGGTCGGTCAGTTCGACCGCCACCATTGAGACAAAGACCTCTGAGGGTCTTCCACCAGCCGCACCGCAAATGCAGGGTCGCTCCCCGCTGCAGGCAAGCATGCCAGTCCGTGCGCCCGGCGGCGTGTTGAGCCGCCGGGCAAATGTTGTTGGAACCACATGTCAACAGCGTCTCTTCGAGCAGGGGACCAAGCAATTGGAATACATTGGCTCCAATGCGACAACACTGCTGAACTGGGGCGCTGCAATCTGAACATCCGATGTCCATTTTGCTGAGCAGCTTGGCTCTGCAACAACAACCTCAAGGCCCTCCCAAACCACTTCAACTGTTGGGGAAATTCATATCCCTTCAACCTGGCCAACCCGGGCTCGTTGGGGTCACTCCACTGCCGACGGTCAGAATGGAAATGAGGTCCCACCTTGCCAAAAGTCAGCTGATAATCCACGTAGAGCTGAGCCATCGAGACCCAACTTCCCCAAACATGCCCATTGCTCACCTCTTGAAGCCATGCCCAAAGACGGCGCACTTGCTCCCTGCCCAACAAGCCTTTCAAATCTTCAGACATGAGTGGTTCACTTGGGACCCGCACACACTGCTCCAAAGAGATTCTAGGTACCGACCTGCTGGGTAGGGGAGCCCTTGTGTAAACGAATCGCTTCTTCACCGATAAGGCAATGAAGTTGGAGGACATACTGGCCAACGGCCTCTGCCTGTTGCATCTGAGCTCTCAACAAGTTCCACGACTGCCAAAACTCGTCTGTTCGCTGCAGATTGAAGCTCTTGGCATACTGGTCTGCCATGTCATTGAACCGCCTCGCCCACTCTTCAACTGGGCCGTAGACTCGTTCATCCACGTGGGCAGCAACCTTGTGGACAGTGATATGATGCTCCCTTCTCAACTCAATTGCCAGAAGATCCCACAGATCTGCATCATGGGCATTGGGCCTTGCACATTGAGGATCATCAAGAAGGAGGAGGAGTCTGTTAACCACATTCGCACAGTCAGACCAAATTCTTGTCCGTCTCCCCGAACGGACTCCAAGCCTCACGGCCGCCAGCACTGCGACGATCTCTGCTCTGCCACTTGTTTGCCAGAGTCCATGTAGCGGCCCTCCGGCAAAACATTCCACTTGTGTGCCAGGCTCTCCACTGTGTCCTTGAACGACAGCCCATGCCGCTACTCGAAGCTTAGGGATTTGCGGGAACATACAACTCCCATCTGTAAACAAATCCAGTGTCACTCCGGGTGCAGGTGAATCCAGCTGGTGGGACAGGTCCAGCAAGTTGTGAAGGCGTTGCAGGAATGGAAGATACTCCTCCGATCCACCCATGTAGCCGAGTACAGTCCGGCAACGAATCACAGGCTGGTGGACGACAGTCCGAAAGATTCTCTCGCACACGTTGGAAGGTGGGGCACCGCCAAATACGATGGTCAATGCTGTCGGGAGCACCACAATGGACACACACCTCACTGCCATCCGGGGTGGAATACTTCAGGCCGTCTTGGGTAAAGAACGTACCAACATGTGCAGTACGCAGGAGGCCACGCTGAAGGTCTGTCAACTGTAAATGGGTCCCTTGGGACAGGTGAGCATCTGCGGTGGCAAGCCCATCAAAACCACGCCGTTGCTGACCAATGGTGCCGATCATTCGTTGCCATGCATATACCGCTCGGAACTCGAGCTCTTTCAACGAAATTCGCCAGATGCTGAAGAAACCAATACGGTCCTCGAGCAGCCCCAATTCCCCATTCCAGCTCCAGTGAATGCGCAAACATCCATGGAAAAATACCCACAAGGGCCCCGGCGGAAATTTCCCTTGAAGCTCACCCAAAATCCATTGCAAATCAATCTGTACTTCAAGTTCATTTTGAAGCCTCCGAAAGTCAAGCAATGTATGCCAAAATGCAAAGAATTCAGGGTCATGAATAGGATGTAAATGCAACCCCAAGGGTTCCCGGTTTATCCAGCTGAAGACCACGAACAGCACCGGCACGTAAGGAGGCATATTGTTGCTCTGTAATCCTCACCGAAGCACACGCATGCAGCGCGCGGGGCCATGCTGCTGTTCGAAGGGCACGCAACTTCTGGGTCAAAGGTGCACATGAAATCCTCAAACGACCCCACAATGGTGTTATGCTCTCGAAGCGAGCTGCCTGCAGACCTGTGGTATGTCTTCGTCCATAGAACACACACACCCACCCAAGTCTTTAGCCCATAGCTGGATAGGCAGATCAAATTGCTTCAACTGAGTACGATGGTGGCCATGGGTCGCCCAAGTGTACGTTTTCTGCCAATCAACTTCAAGTGCTAAGAGGTCGGCAAAGCCCCGAAACTGATTGAGCGCACGACCCAACACCCCCGGCAAAGGTGCAGTCAACTCCCAATTATCCACATATGAAGTTGGGACGCACTCTGGGACGTGCACTTGCATCCAACAATCAAATCCAATGGCAATGGCGGCCATGGCCACACAGGACAAAGGATCACCTTCTGGAAACCCATTACAGCCTATCACTGCTGGACCCACCGACCCTCGGACTCGAAAATGACGACGCAATGGAATCACCGCACCAGCCCAAGCACGAATCAAGCCGTCAGCCAAACCCATTGCATTGCACAAAATCCAGGTAGGTATTCGAGGCAAGACATTGAATGCGTTGACCAAATCGGCCACCATTCCGACCAGCGGGCGATCATAGATCTGCGCCTGCTCCAAACGACGTTGCAATGAAAACCAGACTTGTCCCGCAGTCTTACCTGGTAAGTTGCCCACCACCTGAGGTCCTGCTAGACGTCCCAAATAACTCAAAGCTTGTCGTGCCCGGATAGTGCTCCAAACTCTGTAGACCATCGAAAGGACCGTAATAGGTCGAAACTGCTGGACCCGAGAAGCTCCTGGGACTTTAGCCAAAGCTGTGATGATTCCAACCAACGCCTGGGTGGGCCACCTGCCGCACCGTTCAGCATAATGGCAAATATCAATCAGCTCTCGTGTCAATCCATCAGGCAGTTGCATTAAGTCCAATCTGCTAATCCCATCAGGCCCAGTAGCCGACCGTTTTTTCTTCATCTGGACAGCTTTCCGCCATTGCGCCAGAGTAATCGGATCCAGCGTCATGTCGGCGGAGGGCATCAAAGGCACCAGCTCGTTATGAACTTGTTGCCATCGGCCTGGAATGTTATCAGCATGTCGATGCCACCACCGCTCCCATTCCGAACCAAAAGCTCTGAAGAGGAAAGGCAAGTCTCCTGTCGCAATTTCTTGTCGGGCAACATTCCCTGGGGAGATGCCAGAAACATCTTCAAGCCAAAGTTTGTCTGGAGTCGCATGGATGACTTTCCGTGGTCGCCCAGCCAGGACAATCGGAGGTCCTGACCGAAAGTGTGTGTCCTGGCGTAAAGTGACCGCCGAGTCAATGGGGTCAACCTCTTCAACTTCTCCTTGAACTGAGTCAATCAAAACCTCCACAGAACTTGCATGTTCGGCTCGAAGATCACGAAAGATGATGCTCGGGTCCTCCACCCGTCTGTGTTGCGCATGTCGAATCCGAGACCATTTCAGCTGATTCTCCAGGGCTCGAACTTTGCCACGGAAATGATCAAACATCATGTATGCAAGCTCATACGAAGGAGGGCTCAAAGGGAGGGCGGAAATCACCCCATCCTCAACCAAGCCATGTAACGACCACCAGTGTGCAAACCCACGTCCAAATCCAGCTGCATTCCGAATGGCTCCCCACAAATCCCGCTGTTGGTGATATTGTGCAGAAGTCATCGCATCTCTGTCAATGAGGCGGTAGTAGGTTTGCAATCTTCGGAGCTGTCGAAACCACTGAGCATGCAACTTGGAGGGGCCAAAGTAGTCAGGTGTTTCCTCACCATTCCGGCTCTTCCGCAGTGGAGGGATTTGCACTGAGCGGGTCTGAACGTGCATAGTATGTGCTCGCCCACAATGAACTGACTGAAGAGGACCCTGGTGGGCCAGTTCTGTTTGGTTGGCCAGCTCTGCTTCGAATTGTGCAAAAATGCCTGCGTACCAAGTGGTAGGACAAGTCTTATCGACCTCCACTGAAAACTCACCCCCAAAAGGCGCACTCCCCAGCTCAGTTTGCCAATATGGGCGCTGTGGCATTCTCCAGAAGGACCTCGGCATCTGACTCCGCAACCCAGTAAAATGACCTATCACTACTGCATGATCAGCAAATAGGTCTTGGATGATCTCAATGTCCGTCAAGCAGTGTTGCAACTCCGGAGACAAGAAAATCAAATCAGGTTGCGTTCTCAGTTTGCATGTCATCTGGACCTCATGGCCCC